AAATAATTCTTCTTATTCTTTTTCACCTTTCTCCCAACTATTAGGAGTAGACCACCCTTGTCCTAAACCTTCACTCGTCTCGATTTTCTACATCTCCTACGCATACACCAACTGCCCTCAGATCATGCTCAATTGTATCCAACCATCTCATTTTTAGTCTTCCTCTTTTTCTTTTCCCTCCGACGTCCATTTTCATAACAAATCTAACTGCATTTGTTCCCACTCACCTCATGAAATGCCCAAACCATCTCAGTCTATTTTCGCTCATCTTGTTCACTACCGACGCTACACCAATACTACCTCTCACATATTCGTTATATATGGTACATAGGTACACGAAAAATTATATTTTCATAATAAAAAATTATATGGTGGTTATGATAAACGACGGCGCCGTCATTTCAGGAAAAATATAAATAGTAATGTCTGGTATATACAGATAAAATTTGGTATATACTTTATTCATTGAATTGTTTGTTATTAATATTTGGAATTTAAATATTTGTGTAGCTGAAAAGTAGTGTTCAATATAAGGTTGATAGAGGGTGGTGTGGGGCAGGCGAAGCCCTCAGAGGGTCTATGTTAAATAATCGGGGGAAATACGTTTGGGCGCATTTACCTAAAACAGAACACTTTAGGGCGTAAATCTATAAAACGTTTGGACGTAATATTTCCCTATATAATAGTACGTTTGAGCGCATTTATTTCTTTGCATATATTAACATTTTGTACAAAATCTGAGCCTATTATAGTTACCCAGAAGACACCGCGAGGAGGTTGGCTCAATAGACTTCCAAAAATATTTTGAGATTTTTTTTATTTATATGTCCTAATTTAATCTAATTAAATTTAAATTTCTCAACATTTTTGAACAAATGTTTATTTTTTTTAATTTTCTTTTTTTAATTTAATAGTTATTTTTTTTCTATGCTGTTTATTTTTAAATTGGTCTCTGTTTGAATTTCAATCAATACGTTTATAAAATGTTAATGATTTGGATGTTGCTTATAATAAAATTGTTGGTTATAATTTGAATGGAAATATTCCGGTCCATTAGTTGTTCTTGATTATGTTTTTGGTTCTTTGGCCCAAATAATAGGTAGAAATTGTAAATCTTCAGATATATAATTATCAATTATATAATCAGTGAATTCTGTCACATTGGGTGGCGCTATAGACATAAGCTCAACAACACCAAATTCAACCTCATTAGACAATAAAAAACTTCAGCCAAAAATGTTGAAGTCAAACCCAAGTATCTGTATCCTCGGTGTAATGTTTCAACAAATATTTGCAACTTTGTATTTTAAGAAACCAACTCGATTAAACAAGACTTTCGATTACTAGTTACAGTACCTATTGTGCTCTAAGCTGTTTTCATATATGCGCCCAAACGTGCTAACAATTTTCAGGTAAATTTCTTATACTGCGCCCAAACGGGTTATCCTCAAATAATCGCGCACATGGAATACAACAGTTTTTTAAATCGTAGGACTGAACTCCTCTACTTAATTTTTTCCAATTCGAGCACTGTTTAGGATATAGCTATGAACTGTTATTGATTATAAAACATATACTTACCCTATTTAGTTATTACTTATTAATATTGGCGTCTAAAATCGTTTGACCCCGGGCCCAAAATTATCCTAATCCGAGCTTGAATATACCAATACAATTTATATGCAACATGCCAACAATAATTATTAAGGCTTTAGAAAGTAAACGTTCATATAAATGTATTTGATGTATTTACTTTTAACCAAATACAAGAAGTTTTCAATGAACACTAAAAAAGTTCGAATAATAAAAATGAAAATATAAGAAAATATTCATCATCGGCAAGATTTTATTATTCAATTTCAAAAAATAAATTACTATCACTCAAATATATAAAAACTGTCTTATGAGTGTCTTGAGTCTTGACTGCAGTGGGCGATCTAAATGGAATATTCTAGCACATCTTTAACTTTATTATTTTATCGCCCTTTCCTCTCAAAGAACCAAGTAATAGCATGCATAGTTTTTTTTTCCTGTTAAATATTTTATCATTCCTGATATATCTTCAGGCGAATAAAATCTTTACATAATAAAACTAAAAACGTACATATGACATTTAAACATATTTTTATGAAAATATATCCGTTGGAACTTGGAACTATTATAATCGAAAAATAAAATCGAATTTACCTCGAGAGAAAAATAAAAAAAATAGTGCGCATAATGCATAAAGGGTGAATGTAATAGACCTTAAATATTTTTACCCTACTTTCAGTAAGACAAAATTTAAAATTCTAAATAAATAACCTCTCGTAAACCATATATTGTACTATAGTACACATCTGCAGAATGTCTATATATTTCATTTCACAATGGTCACTGATTATGTTATTAAAATAATACACTTATTACAAAATGGCCGTGAAAAGTTATTATAAAAAAAATAATAAACTGAGTAATATGTATAACTCGTGTAAGCTATATCTATATATAATAGTAAATTAGTTTAATTGTATTTAATTGTGAATACTACTATATATATAATGAAATAAGCAAAATATACAAAAAATCCATATGAAGATGGAATTGGTATAATTCATCACCAAATATTTTAAATGAATAGGCAAATTTACAAAAATTTATATTTTTCAGGATATCTATTAAATGCCTTATCTGTTTATCATTCCTAATGCACAAAAAGAGTTGCTCATGTAAGTGGATAGTTATATAGATATATCTATGAGATTATTTTAAAAAACAATGCTGGTTTATACTGATAAACCAAACATATATATATCAATTTATAATTAATACCTATAGATTAAAAATTATTTAATGTACTGTATTTTTAAAAGTAAAGTCAAATAAGTTTTTGTCAACAGAATATTTAAACAACAAGTTCAAATTGTTATTAATTAATTCATTAGTCATTTTTAATATTTACAACTGTTATTAAAATAATATACATCATTTATTTATAAAAATTTGAATATATTTCAATTTGAGTTTGTGAAGAAAATTATTTGATACATATAATAACTATCTAAGGATATGATTAATTTTTTGGTCGTACTGAGTTTAATGATAACAGTATATAATTAACAATATTAAGTCGAAATAGTTGTAACTATTTATGAATAATCATATTTTTATTTTCAAATGTACAGTAGCAAATTACAGTGTGAAAGTCAATATGCCAATGATAAAACTATAGTTTGAATAGATATAAATTATCCATAGTTAACATACGCAAATAATTTAATATAAAAAGTACTCATTACTGCGTTTCGAAGTTTTTCGTTTGATTAGCAAATAGGTATCCTCAGAAGATGACCTCTCAACTTAAAATGTTTGTGCATTAGGCATAATTAATATTAATTCTAGCAAACTTATACTCCCGAAAAATGAGTTAGTTAAGATTATGGTGAGAAAAAAATAAATGTATTAATTACGTTTAATTTTACCTAAACATTCTATATATTTGCTATAAATTAAAATTAAATAAATAATAATAATTAACCTAAGTATTTAGTAGGTTTAGTTTATAAATTTATGGACGTATAAATAAAACAATACAATTAGTTATTAATTACCAATATCTTTTCTATTCTTTTAATTACAATATCTTTTCCATAAATAAAATTATTTTACTTAAAATAATAATATTACTTATTCGTCGAATTGATTATGATTTTACTATTATACATAATCCACCAGACTATGTGTGTGTGTAATCAAAAAGACACGTACAACAGAATATCTAATTATTTTAGTTTAAAAAACGAACATACTTACTGTAAATTTAATTCCGATTCCGGGTAAAATAAAAGTTAAAAAATAAAGCAACAAAAAAATGAACAAATTTATAATATGCATCTATGCACAATTAAAATATTAATTCGTATGTTAAATTGACGATAGCAGTTTGTTATCAAATGTAATAATTATAATCTCTACCAACTGATTTAAAAAATAATAATAAATAAAATTGTGTTTTATTGCAGTTCATTAAGATTAAAATATACTAATGCAATATAAATAAAATAATTCTATAAAAAAAAAAATTAATATATTTATTTATTATAATTACTTATAACGGTAATATTATTATTTTCCGATTTTCTTGTTTGGTAAATAAAATCCAAGTGCTTTTTTCCAAATAAGAGATAGTTAAAATTAATAAATTGTAATGTAAAAAGAAAATAAATTTTAGTCGTTCGTTAAATGAATATAAGTAATAAATTACAAAATTTAAAACGGTAATTCTTTTGAACGAGATAAACAAGTGATAAAACATTTAGACGTAAATACCTATTTAACGAGTGCACATGGAATACGTCAAAATTCGTTTTTTTTAATAATACTTCAGCGACATACCCATTTACACGGTAAACGCACTACGCGTACTAAAAAGAAACCTTTCGACGTGAACACTTAGAAAAATAAACACCGTATACCGTTAAAAAAAAATAACCAGCAACAACTCAAAAGCCTATAAATCAAGACGATATTACAATGGTATGTGTGTGTGTGTGTGTGTGTGTGTGTTCAACGGTACTCAATACCGGAGTACGTACCTACATACGTGCCTACATGTAATTATAATACTGTTGAACGTTTACGCCAGAAACAGTTTTCGTATTATTATTATTATTATTTTTTTTTTTTCAATAATAATGCGTACGAATAAAATAGTAAAACGATAGTGTTCGTTGACACAGATAATGACGACACACAATCGGGACACACTCGTTTAGTTTCCGCGTCGGGACAATCCGTGTACGTAACGTGTGCGAAACGCCCTCGGTATATTATTATATCAACACGCATACACTCGCACAATATATTGGAGCCAACGTTGCGCAGTATAATAAATAGTACACGCGCGCCGCGGTAATAACGTGGTAATCGGTAACCGGACGGAGGTAGTATACAATAACAACGATGATGAAAACAATAACATTATAACAATATAATAGCAATAAATATTTAAAAAAGAAAACCTGTTGGAAGCGTAACAGTTTTGTTCGGATGTCCGTCACCACGCGAGACGCTGTGTATCGGTAAGAAACGTTGGTCGAAACACTCACTCTCTCGTGAGTAACCGTATGCCTACGCCGCGAACAGCCGTGTTGGATACGCAGCACGGACGAAAGGAGGCGAATGCGCACGTGCGGCACACGGTCGCGAGAAGAAGAAAAATATTCAAAATGCGCACGATTCCGAATATTGTCGCTGAACGTTGTTGTTGTTGTTGTTGATTGTTGTGAACGTGACTCGACGACGGCCGCTGTGGGAAGCACTACGCCGCGCATTCGTTGCCGAACGCGCACTGACGTCCGCGGAGGCGCTGGGAAAAAACGTACGCGCGGGGCCAACTGTTTACCGCCGGCGGACGGACGGCAGGGCCCCTCGGATCGCTTCGGGCGGACAACCCTAGCGCGCAGGGGTTCTCAGCGCGCAACCGCCTTCGTATTCCGTGCGCACGCACGCGGCGCGTTGATACGGTACACCACGCATTGCATTACTACAGCCGTCGTCGTCGTCGTCGTCGTCGCCGTGTTTATGCCGTGCGCGCACGCGCGCGCGCGTGTGTGTGTTGAATACAGTGTGCGCTCGTACACGTACGACTGCACCACACGTCGTCACCCGATGTTCTTACCCACGTGGAGCGAAAAATGTATTAAAATGCCACTTTAAAATATTCTTCTCTCTCTCTCTCTCTCTCTCTCTCTCTCTTTCTCTTTCGCTCTTTCTTTTCATTTTTCTTTATCAACGGCTGGTTCCTCTCTCTACAAAGCACGCCACGGTCGTAAAACTCTCCCCCCCCCATATGCACACTCACGAACGACTTGCCTTTTATGAAATCACTTAACGGCCGGGATTATAATCGTCGCGCCACCGGGAACTGTCCGTTCGCGTCGAACGGAAATATAAAATGTTTACCTTGATCGGAAGAAAACACTTTCGCCAATTTTTTCTAAGCGCATGGTTTTTTTCGCGGTCATTTTCATAGTTTTTACAACCATCCGAAAACGTTAAGGTTTATACGTGGTATTTCGAAGACTACATGTAAATTATTACAGTCTACGAGACAATTTTACCATAAGTTCTTGATAAACGTGTACGTCTATTTTAAAGATAAATATTATCAATAACAAACGCGTAAATAAAATTGTTATTAATTAATCGTACGGCAGGATTGACCGCCAAGACACTATTAAATTACTACTGTTATAATTATAATTATAGTACACATTAGCGATTCCCAAAAATTGTTCAGCCACGGAGCCTTTTTTTAAGCAATATCTTCTCGCGCAGCCCCAAGAAATATTTAATTTTTTTTTTATTCGCCCGTGTTCTATAAAGCGTATCACACAAGATACGTATATAGGAGGAAAATCAAAATGAGATAATGTATATTTAATATTATATTTATATACAATATACTTGACCGGGTAATAACTGGAATGGGAATGCCTATTATCATTGATTATAAATAGTAGTATAAATATAGTATTTATAATCATTGATATTATCTAAAATTAAAAACTTATATTTTCTTATCAAGATTTTAATATTGTTTGTATATGTATCGGTGAATTATATTTATGTTGACGGAGTCTTATCGACAATCAATAAGTGTTATATTATCACATTTTTTATGGTTAAACGAACGGAGCCCTAGAGAAATGATTGGGGAGCCCAAAGAGCTTTGAGGAACGCAGTTTATTAACCGCTGGTATACATAAATGTGTCATTTTACAAACCAATTACCGATTACTGTTTAATGATTACTATTATAAAGGTGAGTAACATAATATGTTGTATTATAGTATATTTAACACAATAATAAAAATGTATATAATACCTATAAAAAACTTTTTCAACCATATTTGAATGATGTCTTCAAGGAATTATTTGTATAAACGTGGTTCTAACAAATTATCAAAACATATGCTATAATTCAACAATCAAATATAAAAACACTATGAAAACATATTTTTTTTATAATAATTATCAATATTCTACCACAATAAGTTTTTATTAGTTATCAATTTAATATACTTTAATAAAAATAATAAAAATACTTCCTAATCCATGGTATAATTAAATTCAGCCATTTATATATATTTAAAATGTGTCAATTGCTTTTCTTTTTGTAATTATCTATAACTCCAATAACTTTAATAAAAAAAATTTAATATTCTTAATACTGTTATTTATTTTTATAAAAACATCTATCTAAACTTCTATATTAATTGAATATAATAAAAATGTAAAAATTTAAGAATGACATTTATAAAACTACCAATTTAAGTGATTATCAAAATATTTGTATTAATTAGTAAATATATAAATCAACAACAAATTCTTCTCAGATGTTAAGTGTTAACGACTTATACATATTGAGAATATCTAATAATATATTAAAATTTAGGACTCTGGGAAATTCCAGAATTACATTTTCGATAACTCAACAGAAACTATATTTTGAACGGGAATATCTAAGTCAAGTGTACATTATCATCTTTAATTAAAGCTGACTCAATATAACAGTAAGATTTTAATTTACCAGGCTGCAGTAAAATTCCTATTATATGTATTTCACAGCATCATATATTACCAATAAAATCAAGAGTAATATATTAATTTATTCAAATAACTTTATACAATTATCAGATGAAAATACAAAATTATTATTCGATTTCGATAATAGTTTGCTTGTTTTAATAAGATATATCTATTATCTACAATACATCATTTTATACTTAAGTATTTATGAAACTATTTTTATGACAAATTTATGCTTTATAATTATTAATTTCAAAAAATTTGCAGTATATGTTGTCTTTTAACTATATCTCTGCAACCGATTTAAAAATTTGTTCGATAAATTGTATCAAACAACGCTATCCCGTTCAATATTATTGAATGAAATAAATGTCAATATAATAATATAATAATATAGTTAGAAATATGTTTTCAAGCATTTTTTTCTACCTTCTGATTGTTGTAAATTATAATTTTTTTTATTTATTTATTTTTTTTTTTATCGAAAAGAAAAAGAAGGCTTCAACATCGAAGGTTAGAAGAACCTTTGTGAAGATTACATTTTAGTAGAATTTAAATTTACAAGGTAAAAGTTATTACAATTATATATATCAGGGGATTATTTACAATATTTATTTCGTTAATGAAATTTAAAATGTTTATAGTGTTGTCTTCATTAAGAGCTTCTTCTAAGTTGTCTGAAACTGATAGGATGTTTCGAATGTTTTAAAAATCTAGGTAGTCTTGGATAATGTGTTTTCCATGATTACGTCTACTTGACATTTGTTGCATATGGGTGTTGGACCTTTACTAATTAAGTGTGAGTGAGTTAAGAATGTATGTCCAATTCTTACTCTGAAGACTTCCTGTCGTCTTTTATGTTTTGAGTAATTTGCCAATTTTTAATGTTTTTTTAAATCTCTTTTAATTTATTTGACACTGGTATAAAATCCCAATAGTTTTGCCATACCATAATTATTTTTTGATGAGTTTAAAGGATTTTGGAGTGCCAGGAGAGCCCTAAGTGAGTCGCTAATAATTAATATGTTGTTATTTGAAATAGTTAATTAATTATTTTAAATGCTTCATAGATAGCGTAGTTTTCAGCTGAGAATATACTGCTTTCCGGAGGAAGTTTGTGTAAAATCTTGGTTTCATCTTGGATGATTGCAAAGCCGGTTCCATGTGTTGATTTAGATGCGTCGGTATAAATTTGTAAGAAGTTAAAGAATTTTTCTTGGATTATTTGTTTAAAATGAATGGTGATAACTGTCGAATTTGTTTCATGTTTATTGTATTTTGTTAATTCGAAATTGAGTTGCTTTATCTAACTTATATTATAATTTATAGTAAAGATAAATTATAATCATATGCGTGCGCAGATTCCTGTTTCCGGTGTGGCTTTTAATTTTTTTTTTTTGATCACTACCCCCTTATAAAACCCCGCTTTAAAAAAAAATAGATATACAAAACATCAGCAGAAATAAAATTTATTAGAAAAACTTATGTAATACAATATGATTATCAATGAACGCCAGTCCCAGCAATTTAATAAAATTGATAAAAAAATTTCGATTTTCCAAAAAAAAAAATTGTTAGCCCTTTTTACCTAAGTACTTAGTACCTATCTACCTAAAAAAAAGTCTCAGGTGTGGCTATAGCCCTATAAGCCACATTCGTGCGCACACCTATAATTATAATCATAAATGAAAATAAAAAGTATTCAATATTTGAGATTATTTTAAGACCAACGGTATTTGATAAAGGGATACCGCTGAGTATATGGTACATTATACAACATAATAAGACCGAAAGAAAAAAACTTGTTTCCAGTTTGTCTTTACGCGATAATATGCAAAACTTTAAAATCTAGAAACATTTATAAAAATAATTATACAATAGGTACCATGTCATGACTATATAAACTATTAAAAGTTTTAGTTGTCTTTAAATTTAAATGACTATAAAAATAATATACACGTGCATTTTGCGTAAAAGAGCATTCAATATAATCATATACAAATTTTATTTTGTCTCAAACAAGTAATATCCAATTCAGATTTATTGTATTTTCCCACAAGCCACTATGGGCATGTATTTCGCCGAGAAGATTATGAGATTAAACTAGTGACAATATGATGTGCATCATTTCCATGATCAAGTACAATGTGATTTATTTAATCCGTTTTCATGTTTTTCCATAAAATATTACAAAAACTATTTAGCCATATGGATCATGTTTATTATTTATTTTTTGTGACTTGAGTCAAAAGGGTTAAATTTTATTTTTTATAAATTTAACACTTTTATTCTATGTTGTTATAATTTTAAATCATATACCAAATAAATTATTTAATAATATTAATAATGGTGGTACAAATACGCCCTTTTCTACAACGAAAATGTTTAAAATTATAAATAAAAGCCATATATAAAACTAAATATCGTCAATGTAAGATTGATCTATTTAACATAAATGCGAATATAAATCAATGAAAAATGTAATGAATGGTACAGAATTTTTTTTATTCTTATATTATAAAACTCGGAATATAACCATCCATGCATTAATTTAATGCTATCGCAATAACACAGGAATAATAAAAAATGTACCCAGAAGGGGAACTAAGTAGTTGCTAGTAAGTTTTTATAATAAAATAAAACTTAATTTCATTGTACTACTAAATTATTCTTATTTATCAAACAATATGGACTACTATTATAACTACGTCTTGCCGTTTTTACAATACAAAATTCTATAATTCAAGATTCGTTAAGATAACACGCTTTTGTTAATATTTATACATTTTAAACAAAAGTGAAGTATTTGCCTAACCAATAAAATAATTAGTTATTAACATCGATTTTTTTTTAATAATTTTATCAAAAATATATTCTATTTAAGTACAACTAAAAAATAGTAATCTATTTTTATCTTACATACATAACATTTT